CACAAAACGATGCAAAACGACCACGAAGCAACAGAATCATGGCTAGAAAATGTGAATCACCACAAAAAGCACAAGAAGGAGCAACATGTCCACCAAAAGACACGAAATGACCGGCTGACGGAGTTTTGTTTCCAGAAACCATGAACGTGTGCAGCTGCTCTGCTCACAGAATGAAGCCCAACACGGCCCACAAGCACCACAACAGCACCAAAACCACCACAGAACATGTGACATCACCACGACTGAGAGAGGAAACGTCTGGAGACAGTTCAGCATCTCTTCAGGATGAGGAGACGACATGAGCTCCAGGGTTTAACACCTGCTGATGGTCAGAAACATGCTGTTCATGCTGATTCCAAGATCTGTCAGTTTGTATAAATGCATCTTCAGAGAAATCCAACTCCAGTTCTTCTGTGAATGATTCCTGTCGCTGTGCTCAGAAGACGTTCCCTCCTCCTCCTCGTGGTGTTTCCAGAGGTGAGGATCAACAAACACTCTGCATTGTTCTCCTCCGTAATGAATTCATCAGCCAGACATTCTCCGTGTAGGCTGGAAGAAGCAGGCCCAGAAGTGACGAGGAGCGAGGAGGTCGTGAAGTTCACAAGAAAGAAGCATCCGAACCCTCACAAGAACGAGAGCTCAGAGGACTGAGGGTAGCAGTCAGTGATTTCCATAAAGCTGTCATCTGAACGACATTCATCAGTCCACAGTCTGAGGTTCCAGCCGAGACGAATCCAGAAGCAAAAGCAGCCCAATCAGTGAGGCTGAAGAGCAGCTCGGAGGAGAAGCTGAAGGCAGCAGGAGGAAGAACCACGACGACAACGTCCCTGGACACCTGAAGAGCATCTCAACGCTCCACAGCGCTGATGCTCCACGAAGCTCATCCTCCATAGACCATCTGAAGTCATCTTCAGGTCCAGTATCTCCAGAAATAAAACTCACAGCCGGACCTGTGGTGAGGACTCAGACGGGACGGTTCCAGCAGATCTCAATGTTCAAAAGCTCCAGCAGAGGAAGAAAAAACAAACTTTGTCACACTTGAAAACTGGAAAACAAGTGCAACCTTTGAAACCCGGGGTTGTAGGTCCGGAAAGGTCCAGTCGGTGTTTACAAATGAAAATAATGTAATCAGATAAGAACCGCCCAGAGTGACTTAGAACCTGATAGGAACGGCTTCAAATGGACCAAAACCACAATCATTAGTCAGTATTGGTTCTTACAAGTGGAACAAAGAGCAAAACCTCCAACCAGGCTGGTGCTGATCCACAAAGTTCCTGTCAGTGTCTGTCTATGGATGGATCCATGGTTCTACTAGAACCCAGTCTCTGGTCA